TAAGAATGTGCCTTGGTTTGTGTTGTTATTAGCGTCTGAGAGCATTTAAAATGTTCTGCGCCCGTGTGGAACATACATTTGTTTGTTCGCCTTATGAACTTTACAGAATTCCTATTTATGTAGTCCATCTTTGGCAGTGACTTTGATGTAAAATTACAGATCAATTTTTAAATTATATTGCGAAATTAAAACTTTGAATAACTTGCGCGGAAAACTTGAGTTGTTTACTGTTTTCTTGGTTTAGCTAAAACTCAAATCTTAATCTGCAGCCATGCCATAGAAGGTGGAGACGCGGTGGCCTCATGGTTAGTGTGGTCGACTCCGGGTCGAGCGGTCCGGGTTCGAGCCCTAGACAGCAGGGACATTGTGTTGTGTTCTTACGCAAGACACTTCACTCTCACAGTGCCTCTCTCCACCCAGGTGTATAAATAGGTACCGGCGAACTTAATACCGGGGGTAACCCTGTGATAGACTAGCATCCCAACCAGGGGGTCAGTAGAAATATTCCTTGTCGTCGCTTCATGCTACTGAAACCGGGATAAGCTTCGGTCTGATGGCCACTTGGCTCGTATGCAGACATACTATGCCATAGCGGAAGAAAGAACATGTAGGATCGTTTGATGATAGATTAACAAATGGCTCAGGACGAGAAGATTCAGTTCTAATTACTATTTAGGACTTGCTTCCTTTTTACTGTCCTTTGCACAAGAGATTCACCGTTTACTTTTTCTTGCATGTCTTTGCAGCTTATTCTATGACGAACGAATTTGTTCTCCGAGCTTTCCATCGTTGCGGAGGGAGAAATGTTACAAATTAAAGTCAAAGATACTTACGTAATTATCTAAGCTTTCTTCATCGAATTTTATTAGACTTGTTGAAAAATGGTTACCAATGGACTTAGTGGACGATCAACTCCCGTTATTTTCGCGCGGTATAAGTAAAGTTGTGCACACTCAGCACCGCATTGTGATAAGGTTAAATGTATAAGTTTGCTTCACTTGTCGCAGCGCAAAATTACAGTTTACAAGAACACAAAACAAGCTTTACTGCCACATTAAAAGTTAAACTTAAATTACAGCATAACATATTAATACAAGCAACCAAACAGTATATTAATACAAGCAACCAAACCAAATCGTTTTTGTGAAATTAAGGGCGTCGGCCATTACTGATCTTGGGATTTCACTCCCAGAACTTGGAGACGCGTTTTCGGTCAAAGATCTAAAGGATTGTCTGAAAAAACTTCAGAAGACCGGTGTGATTTACAATGCGTGAGATGGCTGAAAATCTAAGAACGGACGAAAGCCAATGCTCTTTGTTTAGGCCTGAACACCACAACGGCAAAAAGCGCTCTACACTAAAAAAAAAAAAAAAAAAACGAACTTTCGTCATGTCTTTACTTGTTGTTGTACACACGTGTCTGAATTTATGAAAACAGTGAGTAAATTCCACCAGTTTTTCCGTAACTCGGTTTAAACGGTCTCCAAAGTAGCGATATAAAACTCAAAGGAATGTCACTCTTTTTATTTCCTCCACTCTCACCTTCCCTCAGATTTTTGTCCTATCAGAATACATTTTATTCCACCGCGAGGAGTGACTTCCAGGCCTCAGCCTAGGAGTCATAATATCAAGGAGAGAAAGAGATTGGGGACTAAAGAGTGACATTGCTTTGAACATTCTACATCGTCTACTTTTCTCTGGCGAGAGAAAAAAGCTTACACAGGGGGGAAATTTTCATTAACACCGTTAGTGGGTCATCACATGTCAGGTAAAATCAAGAAAGGACACCGGTACTGAAATATCTTTCAGTTTTTAGCAGTTTGCGCGAAAAGAGGACCCAGTCTACGCATAGCGAAAACACCTGCATTGTTTTTCACGTTTTGGCCGAGTGTCTAAATGATTTTCGATAAAAATAGCTGGTTATTTTAATCTAGTTCGCAATGATTTTATAAATGGAGATTTTATTTTCATTTTCGGACAGAACGGCAAAACGGTTTCAAAAGACGCTTACGTAACACCTTTGAATTCTCATCGCTAGACACCGGCTCAGTTGAGATAACAGACACTCCTAGGTTAGCCCGTCTGCTAAATCAAACAAACGACTCGTATATTATGTATTTTTTTTAAAAAAAAACTTTATACGCAGTCACTGAGTAAAAACGACAGCAAAATCCCGATCTTCTTTGTCGACAAATCGTGTTATATGTGGAGTACGTTTAAAAAACACACCTGTTTTTGATAAGTTAGCTTCATCATGACTGAACTCTGCTTAAAGTTATAACATTCTTAGCCGAAGCGATATTGTTTCATTTTCATGGAATCAAGAACCGAAGTCGAACAGGTCCGAAATAAAAACCTCGTGACCAACAATGACGTAAAGATTTGCTATTTTGGTCTGCAATATCATTTTGGTTTTCAATGACTTGTCGGTTTTGAATAACACGATTATAGCTCTATGAGCTTAAGTTTGTTGATTCGTTTCGTGCATGGAAACAGATATTGACGTATTGATACGTTCTTAAGTCAAAAAGAATACTTTTCAGCAAAATTACCGTAGATATTTTGAAATATCTCTTTTCTACTGTGCACTCCATAAAATAAACTCTAAATTCAGCGATGTTGCATGTATCACGAATGCACGAAAACACAGTCTGGATATTTACCTGTCTGCCCGCCTGTCGTAGGCTGGGTCAGTTACTACATGGCGAATAACGTTATTCGGTCGGATGGTAGTTAACGGGTGTTGTTCATGAGTGGAAACGGATTTCATTATATTGATGCGATGCTTATAAAGACGTCAAGAGTTTAATCATATCCGTTTTCTCCTATATATCTACATTGTAATCGTTATATTTACTGATGTTGTTCCAAACGGCCAATAAACGAAATCAAATCAACTGGAAGAGAACGTTTGTCGCCGTACTTATAGACGCGTGTATTGGCTTTTTGATGAATGTCTTAGAGAGCTCGGGCGTCAACGGGAAAATTCCTTCGCCAGTTAAATTCCGTCTTCTGTTCCAGTGAGGTTTTCCTGATTTCAACCTTTACACACTAAAGTAAGACGGCACTGCCCTAAAAATTGCTGGAGACTGATTGAATACAAAGCAACACTTAAAAGAAACACTTAAAAGCAACACAAGAGGTCGCAGGCGAGACAAGTATGCATTGATTGTTGGAACTAATTTCAAGTGTAACGAAGACTGGTTCTCGTTCGCCAAGAGTGTACTTCAAGGTCTCCGCCCATGAGAAAGTATGGAAAAGAACATTAAATTGAATACAAATCCTACACTGGTATATTTTCAAACAACAGCCAGGTTGATCTGTTGGGTAAAGTATACGGTAATGATGGCGTGTAAAGAGGAAACTCTTTACATGCGTTTGTTCAACTTCTTCGCTCGGTAGTGAAAGCCCTAAAACCTCGATTGCAGGTACTATAATTTCGTGATCGTGGTCTTCTGGTAAAATTCCGTTTGATATTTGTCGGTCAAGGACATGGCCATTTTGTTGACATTTAAACAATATTGAAATTTAAAAACGTCTAACGGTCAGGCCTAAAACAAAGTGTTTTGTGAAAAACGTTACTGTGATTTTAAGACATATTACCTCCAGTGAAGGCATGTGATGATGAAGACATTTAAAATTAAAAACAGTTTGTTGTTGGAGTTGTTCTTAGATTAGTTAGTGCTTCCATTTATTGATAACCCAATACTCGTGAACGTAGTCTGAAAGAATTTTGCAATAAAATCTCATAAACAGAGGCAAGGGCGATATCATGTTGTGGAAAAAATTCTACACAAGCGTTAACTTTGGTAAAAACAAGACAACACACTTGTTTAGTTTATCAATAAATAATACTTTAAAACTGACCGTATTTCATACCGAGGCAAACAAATAAGCGTTTAGGTAAATTCCAAAAGCATAAAACAGACAATCGTATCTGTCAGGCGAACCGCTTAACTACAATTTGTAACCAAGCAACTCACCGTCACTTTCAAAATGGCTTTTTTGTCAGCACAACAGCTTTATGCGTTTTGTAATTGCCTAGACGTACTTCATGCTCGACGCATTATTCGTTCTTCTAGGTAGATACGGCCATTTAAAGACAGTGCATAATAAATATTACTATATACTCCGCTTCGTGTGCGTGCAATAAATTAAACAGTGAACCTTAAGATAGCTATTACAGATTGAAAGATGATTATAAATAATACCTAAAGTACAACTTTTTAAGTCTAGAACATTCTGAATTGACATCATGTATTTACAATAAGAAGCCAATTTATAGAGATAAAATGGTCTTGTCTCAAGAACTTGTCTTTGCTGGATTATCACAAAATCTTACAGTCTGTTATGATCTATTCAAAAATAACTGATTCAAAATAGCTCTACTGTCTTGAAGGCACGATTTTTTGAAAATCGTCAACTTCTTAAAAGTAGCTTTTACTTAGCCTCTTGTCTAAGCAATAAATATTATATTCTTGAAGGTTAAGAAATAACTTTCTTCTATGTACATTTACTCTGTGTAAAATTACTTTCAACGAGCCTTGTAGCATGGCATTTCGCAAAAATATGGTTCTAGCAAGTTCCACTTTTATGATTATTAAAATTACTTGATACTTAAGTAACTTCTATTAACTCCTTCGACACAGCGATCGTTATATTTACATTAAAATTAAAGGAACAAGAAATTAACTTTCAGCTCGTAAAATAAAGATAAAATTGAATGTAATTTACCTTGTTTGTTAGTTTGTCATGAGCATTCAGTGTTCACAACAGTTTAATAAAAATTTTAAAATTACTTTCTTTGAAAGGAAATTTGATTCTAATCTTCGAGTTGTAATTGCGGAAGTGGTCGCCGAATAATAACAGGAGGTAAACTTTCAGGCGCAGAGCTCTTAACTTTTTTCTTCTTCTTTTTCTTCGGAATAGCAGCGTCTGCACTATCTTGTCCATTGACTACATGTCCTCCTGTACCACCTTCAGTAACAACCTCAACAAGTTCACATTCCTCGTTGTTTCCAGTCCTTGTGTTCAGCCCTTCGTCGACCCGCACCTTTCTCTTTTTCTTTTTCCGAGGACTGGGAACGAGTTCTTCGCCTTCGTTATCAAACGTCACCCCACTAGGCCCTGGTTGGGCTAATGAGGTGTCAACACCGTATTGGTCAGTGGAAATTCCCGCGTGCCTCGGCTCCAGCGTGGATGGTATTTCAACGTTAGCTGGCTGTTGAATGACCACCCGAGGGGTGGTGGGTGTAATTTCCTTGAGGGATTCCTCTGAAGATGAAGGTTCCGTAATACCTTGAGGTGAATAGTCTTTATTAACAACTGAAGATTCTTTAGGTGATGAATCCTGGATTTGTAAAGGTTCATGTTCCGTATTGGATCGACACTGTTTAGCAGCGGCCTAGTGTGAAACAAAGTGCGAAACGTGAGCCCATTTTCCAAGAATAAAACACATACATCCCAGTAATTAGAGCGAGATTCACTTAAGTGTTGAAAACTAATTCGTTTTGCATTACTATGCTCCACTCTTGGCTAAGACATTAGCGCCACCTTTTCATATAATCAAAGTAAAACCAAAACCAATAATGACTCGCTCGCACACGCAGCAACATACTTTATGTTCGAGTTTTGATTGGTTCATTGGATTTTCTGTATACTTTGTGATTGGCCTGATTAGCTACATGTACTTTGGTTTCGGTTTTACGAAGATAAAAGCGACTTACGAACGTTCTCCAGCACACTGGGTAAGGTAACAAGTTTTGAGACAGACTACCATTAAAACAATTAAAACAAACATACCTTAGAACTGACTTCACTTATGAACTTAACAGTTGTCTCGTTGGGAAGAGAGTCCTCAGATCCTTCCGATCTGCCATTATCACTTATTTCAAACCTGAAATATCCAGGGAAAACGATAAAAATCAGAGTTATAACTGTGAACTGGTACGTTCAAGTGCTGCATGGAGACGAGAGTGTCCCATCTAAACATCTCGGCTTCGCCCTTCTTCAGTAAGTCATACATCTTTTAACCAAGGTTAAATCAAGTTTTGAACCTTGACAACGAATACCGTCACAGTTTTCGCGAACGTTACATGTACTATTGTTTTGGAATTGGACCTGTCCATAAGCTAATATCACGTGTGATGATCGCTGTCTCACCTCACAGGTTCCACGCTTTCTCTCCTGTCTTCTTCAGGCTTTACTTTATTCTATAAATGGAAAAATTATGACAAGCTGTAAGTTACATTCATTATAAGCAGTCTGGGTTCCTCACAGAAACACTTGACACTACACTGCTGAGGTCTTTTTCACTGGGCCAGCCAGTTTTCTCATGTGAACAATATCATCATGAGACAATACAAAAATATTGTAATGTATCATCTTCAAGGGATATAGGAATTAAAGAAGATCACAGCCGACTTCCGGAACCTCAGCCTGCTTATGACTGGGATCATTTTATAGGGGCCTTCATCAGAGCAAAAACGAGAGCCCATCTCAGACACAGAAGGCCAAAAAATCTGACTGCACAGCATACGCAAACCAACCCCAGAATGCTAGTCTCAAATAAAAAAAGTTCCAGGATTATTGAAGTTGATCTGTGACAGTCAATCAGACATTTCACAATTACATAATTTATGCATATACATTGCACGTCATCAAATCACAGTGGACCTTCTGGGGTTTTCTAGGAGAAGGAAATGAGCAAATACCTTAAATAATTTTCTACTTGCTGGAGACTTTGTGCCTGCTTCAACATCAGAAAGATTAGGTCGACTGTCTCTTGAACTGACAATGAATTCATATGTAGACATTTTATGACAAACTGTTAAAAAAGGAAAACAAAATGCCGTTAGTTAATACTATTACTGTCAGTAACAATATTACCTTTCCATCCTTCATACCGAAAGCACAGTGGCCTAGATACACTGATCTCAGGAGAAATGTATCCAAAGTTCATTTTTACAATATTTCTACATTGTAAGTAGGGTCTTTCAAAACATCCCTGCAACAACCAAACTACAATATCTAGTGCTCATTTCTAAATCTTCAATAGACTGTGACAGCAGTGCCACATTTACACCTTCAATGGCATCAACACATCACCAGGCATCCTAAATTTCAACCTTCCATTGGTGTAAACAGATTCAGCCACAATTCCTGTCAGTGGAATGGCGTCATCTTCAAACCATCTGAAACCATTTCCCTGGGACCATTCCCCACAATACCTTCATGAGCTTGACAAATATACTTCCCATTAGCTAAGCCAAAGCAAAACTGTCTCCCGGCAGCCAGTAAAGACACCACCTACATACAGCTGTATACATGCAACTATTCTGCTGATCTACGCTCTTGGGTGCCCCTGACATTCAATGTTATGTATTAATGAATGCATCAAAAGGATGGATTGCACTTGAAAACAAGAGGAACCAAAAATGAATACTCCTGAGCAACAAAATACAATGTACAAGCAAGACACCTACTTAAGTAAATATGAAATCCTAGAAGATGTCCAAGAAGTGCAATAGAAAGAAGCAATAGTGTCACCACAATTCCAGTATATGCTGCAAATGCTACATCTGATGAGATAGGTACAAACACTCTGAATTGTCCTCCTGAAAGATCACAAAGAAAATGGTCTCAGATTCTAACTTACATGTAATATAGCAATAATCATTGCTTGCCAACAATTATATACATGTAAAATTAATATAAAAACCTGCTACATCTAGTACATGCCTCTGACACTTTGAAATACTTCCACAGGAGCTCATTATTCCCTGACTCTGACTTTATACTAATCGTTTTTTTCCATTATTTCTTGTATAAAATAAACTAAGGTAAGGAGCATGGAAAATTGTCAGCTACAGTCATCGTCAATAATTATTGTCAGTATAGTCTACATAGTCCATGCAAATTATATGCTCCAGCTACCCAAATCAAAGCACTCAGCACTACCACAATTTTATTTTAAAAATACAACTTAAGGTGATAAACTGTTTACCTGTCAAGGACTTCAAACTGTCTTTGTCTATAAAGAACATGATGAGAACATACAGAGTAATTGCAAATACCACTACTGCCAAAACAAAGGCACTGGTAATGCAACCAATAAATAACCTGCGAATGAACAGACAGAAAATGTTAATAATATTAAAATGCTTTTTATAGACAATGTACAAAACATTTAGCAGTGTTTTGTCTTCTCCCACACCCACCCTCCCTGCCAGTTGGGCTTACGAGCCCACCAGTCATGTGCCTTGAGGCTCCCCATTCCCCTTCCCCACCCATAAAAAACCTTTACAAGAAAAGTACAACTATTTAGATGCATGAAGTGTTAAGTGGTTAGACATTTTTGCAATTTATGCAGTTAGTCATTGCCACTTGTTTAGTTCTAAACTAAAACAACTGTTTAATACAGCTTTATGTTCTAGTTACAGCTACTTTTAGTGCAGAGGTAAAAGTGAATATATGAAATATCATAATTATCTTTAAACTGTGGAGAAAGACACGAAGACATATAACTGCCATGATCAATCATGTCTTCAGTACAGAGATATATTTAACATCAAATATTATATGGAAAAAATTTGCTTACTTGTAATTCTGGCCTCCAACACAGTTGTTTAGCCATTTACAATGATGATCAAAATCAGAAACACACTTGTTACACACAGAGCAATGTTTGCTTTTGGGGCCACTGTTGGACAGAGAATACAATAATGTTCATAACTAAATTAACAATAATATTCATATTAACTAAATTGAAGTACCCTGAATTACTGCTGACATTGAGTGTTGTGTATTTACAACCAATGTGCTGTGGAGGACTACAGTTTGAGCCTGGCCCAAAACATTCCCTATGGGTTCTTGGGCAAGAAAATGTACCCTTGCAGCACCTCTTCAGAGTACAAATGGGTACATAAGTATAAATTGTTAACCAAATGAACAAGAATCTATTCAAAAAGCCACTTCATCACAATTTTGCTAAGGGCCTACTCATTTCACCAGGCAAAAGAGATGTTAACTCCATCTGTAATTTCACATGAAAAAGAAAAAAACAAGACTTGGATAAACTTTGCAGCTGCCAAGGTCAGAAAAGTCATCTAGGCTTGTTAATGAGCTGGTTTAATTACCAATTGCCTGAAGAAAACATCTGTAATATACTGTACAAAAACTATACATAAAAATATGACTGGAAGTTTATAATCCAGTTAATGAATTATACATGTAGATCTTTAATGTAAACATTGAAAAGAAACCTACACATCTGCTTGACAAATGTAACAGTGACAGTTCTCAATGACATGTTGATGTTGGCTTCTATCAAAGATTGCTTTGGCTTTCTTTGTTCCACCTCTGATGTTAGGGTCTGCTGGGTCATATGTCAGCGCCATAAGGTGATAAATAATGTGTACAGCACAGAAACCACCTGGAATCTAAACTTGCTGGTCAAGGGATTAATCAACTAAACTATAATAAATTATAATTAACATTTGCTCTGAAAGAGATCGGCTGTAAACCAGATTTGCCTATTTCTAATTTCACATTTAATCCACGTATGTCAAGTTGTATTTTAAGGAATCATATTGTAGAGTCTCTCATTTAATGAAAAGAGAAGGATATTTTTTTTAAACAATACATACACGTAGATTTTCATAATGTCCCTAATAACCTGCAGATTTTACACAATTATTGGATGAGGTTTTTGTGATATCTGGAATAATCAAGGTCAAGTTAAGTGTTATCAGCCGAAGGCTGAGGCTGCTAACACTAGCTGAGACCTTGATGATTTTGGATGTCACAAAAACCGAATCTAAGGATATATCTTTTATTATACACTGTTTTAAAGAAAATAACGACAAACGCATTTATCGCACCAAACGCAGTTTATTTTTGACAAGCCATGTTCTTACTTCGCTGTCCGTGTACCTGACATTGCTCTTGGAAATCATGCATTGCACGCGCAACCTACAGCTTATTCACTAATCTGCAAGCAGATTAGTGAGTACTCTGTAGGTTGCACTGTTTCTCAGAATTAACTGTAGGCTTTTAGCTAATAATTCAATTTGGTTTTTTCCTTTGTTCTGCTGTATGGTAAAATATCATTACGTATATGAAGTAAAGGAAAATATCAATACAAATAATATTGTACCAAGGGTTATAATGAACCACTACACATTCATTAAGTTGTTCTTTTGTGTCTTGTCAGTCTGACTTTTTGATCATTTGTGAAAGTACAATTACTACATGCACTCTATATAAAAAAAGATAAACCACCATAATGCAAAAAAATTCTTTGTAAAAAAGCATCTATAAATTTTACAGTGGCATCAACAAATTATCAAAGGAAAAAATCTTATACAGCTTAACTGTCTATGTACATCCTGGTTACAGGGGGGCAAAGGGCTTGTGTCACAATTGCAATGAGGGTAAAAATTTCTGTGTGACATAGGAAAAGCAAGGAAAGACATAAAATTAATGATTCCTGAATTTGTGAAACAAAATTTAAAAAGTGTACCAAGGCTTGTTAAAACTAGCTGACAGTACATATATATACGTGATGCGTGAATTTTGTTAAAATCTGTGTGTGAAATGGGATTGATCTCAACTCCCTCTTTGCTGCCCTCTACACAAACAGAGTATGTGCACAGTTTGCTGATGAAAGCTGTTGATGTGAAGTTAACCACACATAATTTTTATTGAAAAGGAAAACAAAATTTGGAAGAAAATACATTCAAGCTTATGATATTTAAAAGAATGAATAAATTTTTTGCTCTCGGTTTTTATTGACTTTGGTAGTCGACTAAGCGCCAACTACAGCAGCCAAAAGAAAAATCAATTGCAACTTCTATATGTACAAGTAGGCTGATATTCTGTCTGTTATTAAACAGCCAGAAGACAACACATCGACATATAAAATTATTCCATAGCATTTTCTTGCCCAGTGTGTATGTGTGGTCTACAATTAACTATTTTTGACAAAGTCCGTTTTTTCAAGGTGTTCATTATAACAAACAAATATTATACTACAACGCCTTATCTACTCTACAAACGGCTAATTTTTTTACTAACACGCAAGACTAGAGACAAACGAGGAAAATACATGACACCAAACCTAATTTTCCATAATTTTCATTAAAATATACACTAAAACATAAGCTTAAACACATTAACATAAAACACACAGTGACGCAATGAATATTAACTCTAAAGATTGTAAGTAAAGGTCATCAAACCATGTTGGGTATTCACAAAATATTTCATATTATATTTGAGCTTATAAGCTTATTAACGGTTCATATTGAAAAGGCATCGCAAAGGACGTGAAATATGCAAGCTTAGCTTATATAATCATGATCAGTGGTTCTGTTATATTGATTCCCTTTCAGCGCGGTATTCTGGTGTAGCGCCGTTCGATTCAACCCTCTCAGAAATCCAGGAAATGTGAAAATGTACCTACATGGTACATACGTGTATCGTTCTTAAACTTATCCACTGATGTATTTGTTGATGCTCAAGCAGTAGGTCCAGTAGTAACGAGACTTAAACTACATATGGAGCTTGCATTGGACGCACGATCAGCCATTAGCGCATCTTACAAGCTCTACTAGGCAACAAATCTCAATAATTCAAGGCATTATATCTGCCTACCACATGTTTATAACCCTTGTGGTAAAAAGTGCACATTGCTGACTGCTTGCAGTAGTAAGGAGGCTGCGAAAGTTAGAAAGTACTATAAAAGGATACAATGAAACCAGCTGCTTGCCACTCTTTTGGGAGGTAGAACACAAAAACACCGAAGTAAGATATAGAGAAGACGATAAGGAAAAACCACGCCACGAACTGTAAAGGATGCCACGGACAAGACCAGCCATTTATCCTCTCCTTCTGGTTCATGACAACTGTCGACGAAGCCCTCGACGAAGTTGCCGTACCGTTCGCTCCATGAACAGGAGTCATTGTGTAAAACCTGCATTGAAATTGAGAGAGGAAATCGAATGTCTACAGCTGTTTGAATACAATTTTCTCAACCCAAATTAACGAAAGGCCATTAAGATCAGATGAAGTAAAGGTGTGGATGCTTCGTTGTTCATACTTACAAAAGATTTCGAAGATCGAACCCCGCTATCGACTGCAAAAGCTAGCTATTTTTCTCTGAATGAATCACGCATCCGATCGCCATTGTCACCATAGTCTGTTTATGTAAAGTGAATTTGGGCGCGGGGGAATGGGCCTTTGTTGCCATGGAGATTGATAAATAGAACAGGAAGCTTGTGACGTACTGCGACGTCAGATCGTGAACAACCTCGTTCTCAGGTTTAATTAGCGCGAAATATATCGATCAATGTAAAGAAACTTTCTATCTTCGAAATATTGAGGATTTTTGTATGACGAAAACTTAGAAAAAGGTAATATTTTCGCGCTTTTATGCTCAAACTTACACGACCGATTTTTCTCGCCCCTCCCAATCTCGAAGAGAAAAGCTTTGCCTTACTACCCTATCCAGGGCACCGAAAAATTTGGCCAGTTTGGTAACCTCGTTTGGCTATTCCCTTATATGTGTGTAGTAGGTCAACAATTGTATCAACTTCATTTCAAATATAATGCCCGACTGGAGCTGGCAGAAAGTTCCCGTCTTACATCTGCTCATATGCATGTTCATGTTTAACTCAAAATACTCAGTTCAAGTGTTGCGACCCGCTGATAGACATTTTGAAAAGTTCTTTTAATCCGATTTTTGTTGTGTGTTCTAAATTTTCGGTGGCTTCAGTCCACCTTCATCAGAGCTCCAACAGAGTTCAATGTAACAGTTTTGTTATGAGGACATGATAGTCACTCGTAAAAGGTTTGTTATTATGAGAAGTAATATATCAAACACGAAAGACCGTGTTTGACCACATTTCCAAACTCCGAGAAGAGAGTTGAAAATACGACGCGCAGCGGAGTATTTTTGACGAACTTCGAGGTGTTTGGAAAAGTGGTCAAACACTGTCTTGAGTGATTGATATATCTTCTCAATCGAGACTAAAACTAAGGAGAAAACGGAGAATTAAAATCGTAAAAATCTATGCAAATTAAGATCGGATATCCAAAGACCGTCACGGTCATGATTTCCTTTGTTTAAACTTGATGAATTATTAATGAGTTTGAGAAGTTTATATGAAATAATTCATACATGAACTGCGGTTGTAGATGAAAGTGAAGAATGATCATCGAAGTAAATTTCCAATTTAAGAAATTGGAAAGAAGAAGTCTGAAAAAATCAGGGCTTCAACGGGATTCGAACCCGTGACCTCCGCGATACCGGTGCGATGCTCTACCAACTGAGCTATGAA